CCTGGGACCAGCCGGGTGCTCACCTGCCATTGGGGTGCAGGCACCAGAGGAGGGTGTGGTGCCAAGCTCCACGTCTGGGAGCTGCCTGGGCTCTGGGGCCAGGGGGGGCCCTGCAGCTGGAGAGAAAGGCCTAAGCTGGCACCTGGTCTCCCAGCTCCTCCCTCTTCCACAGGTCTCTGGCTCCTCTCCCCCATAACCTTGGCCTGGGGCAGTAGCCACAGGCCGGTGGCCACTCCCACTGCTTGGGAGGAGCTCTGGGCCTGACCTGAGGCGGATGAGCTATACTGGCCCACCTGTAGCCCGCACCATCCCTGCTGGGCCTCCCTCTCCCCCAGGCCCTGCCTCCTCTCTCCCCTGCCTGCCTCTCCCCTTGGCACAGAAGTCTGCAGGACAGAGCACCCCCCGCCAACACAGCCCCTTACCAGGAGCCTCTAGGGGGATCGGATCCGCGCCCAATACAGCTTTCAACAGATGGTCCTCCAGGGAGCTCTCCTGCAAAGCCTGGAGCAAGAGGTCCCCAGCATGCTCACCTGGGTTTGCAGTGCAGGGCTCAGGGCTTAGCCAGGCCAGTTCATGCCCTGGCCTCTCACCAGTATCTGCTGCCTGGCATGGCCCAAGAAGCCCATCCTGCAGGGGAAGACAATGCCAGCTTAAATAAGCAGCCCCCTGCCCCAGCAAGAGCTGGCAGCCCTTGCTTGACCCAAGGTCCAGGAGGGCAGAATAGCCTTACCCTTGTGAGTGGGGTATCTTCAAGGGCTTTGTCCTCCCCCTGGTTAACGCCTGGGTCTGAAGAAGAAAGGTTTGGAGAAACATTGGGACCTGACTCTGGAGTGGACACCTGAGTGAACCCCTAGGCAGCTCCTCACAGCTGGAACGTGCACCTCTCCTTCACTAGTCCCAGTAAGCTCATCAGCTTCCTCCCAGTGATCCCCTTAGCAGTCCTCAGCAACTTGGCTCCAGCCTCTCCCACGCTAGTCTCTAAAACCAGAAATCCGATGCAGCACCGCTCCCAGGACAGAGCAAAGTCCCAAGGCCCTCCGAAGCACATTCCACTGCGCCCAGCCCATCCTCCTGCAGCCCCTCCTGGGGCTTTCCTCACCTCTGCACCCCAGCTCAGGGCTGATCATGTACACCTTATGCGGGTCAGTAGGGTCAGCTGAGTTGTCTTGCAACATCACGAAGCGCCCAGTGCTGCGCAGGGCGCAGCGGAAGTTGGTTTTCCAGGAGGCTCGGAGCGCATCCTCGTTGGTTGACCTGGCACCGCTGCTGCAGGGCGGCCACCTGCCGCGGGCCACGGCCCAGGCCTGGGGATTGAGAGGGAGTGGAGGACGTGGCCTGGATCCACGGATCTGGGGCGGCCCTACCCCTACCCCCGGGTCCCCGGCGGGATTGCGGTCCCACCTTAAAGATGCGCGAATCTGCTTCACCCAGGTCCTTTCGCGCGAAGTGCTTCCAGGGCACGCGGAAGCGCGTTCGGGCAGCGTCCAGCCACCGTAGCCCCTCATAGCGGCCGCTGCTGACCTCGGCCAGAAGCCAGTCTCCGAAGAGCACGCGCGGGGCCCCACTGCAGGCAGAGCAGCCGGGTTATCAGGGCGCGCGCAGGCCGCCGAGTGCGTGGGGTCTGCGCCGGGCAGGGCGGGGAGCTCACCTGTCCTGAGCCACGGCCATTGCTCCCTCTGCAGGGGCTGGGCGGGGAGGGGCCGGCGCACCCTCCGCGGCGAGTGTTGTCACGGGCGCAGTCAGCTACTACCGCAGATGAGAAGAAGGTTGCGAGTGTGGCCAGATGTCACCGGTGTTGAGGATCACAGATGGGAATTGAGGGCTGATGGCCACGACGTTGCTCGAGTGTGAGTCCTGGCCAAGGCGGTGATAGGTGTGACTACAGATACGGCGAGCGCGCGCACGAGGCGCCACAGGTGTCGAGCCGGCGGCCGGGTAGGCCCTGCGGGGGCGCGACGGAACTGCCGCAGGAAAACGAAACCTCACGCTGCAGGAAAACAAAACCTAACCCACTGGGCCGCAGGGCTGGCAGACGCCCCTCTCCCTTCCCCTCTCGCCCACCCCGCAGGTCCTCAGCGACCGTGACCCCCGCATCCAGTCCCCCCAATTCTGGATCCGTGCCCCGCCGCCGTCACCCGCGCTGCCTGCCCCCTCCCGGCCACTGCTCCACGGAGCGAACGCGCGGTCCGACGCGGCCGTCACTGCCCCTCTGCTTCCGCGTGAGTCCCGAGTACCTGGCGCAGAAACGGCTGGAGCGCGAAACCTCGTCTCTCCGAACACGCCAAAGCGCGCGCTTTTATGCTGGCGGGGCCGGGGGCGAGGCCGGGCTCCGCGGAGCTCCAGCTGCAGCAGAGGAAGTCACGTGCTCCGGCGGGCGGGGCGGGGCGGGGCCGCAGGGGGTCCTGGCGGCCCGCCTGCACAGCCGCTGCCGGGTCCAGCCGATGCTCTCCCTCACCCGGCGCTCTGGGGGACTGGGGCTCCCGCAACCGCCGTGGTGGGACAGGCAGTGCGATAAGCTGGGGCTCCAGGAACGAAACCCGCACTTCGCTGAGCAGACAAGTGGGTGATGAGGGTGCGGGGAGGAGCGCAGCTGTGTTCTCTGGATTCTTACCAGTGAGAACTGCTCAGGCGAGGTACTCAAATACGGTCGAGATTAAAATATTTGGAAAGGAATTCGTCATGCCTTTTCATGAGGAAAGACGCCAGTGACCCTTGCGGGGGTGGTAGTCGGGGCGGAAGTCCTGCCTGAAGTCCGCTCGTGCGGAAGCCAGCGGAGGGGGCTCTGTCCCCAGTCCCTGGCCCTGGGTCCCCCCACTGCCTGCCTCGACCCTGTGCACACACCCGCCACCCCTGTGCCCGTGGCCTGAAGGCCACTGTCGCACTGGGTGGGCCACACCCCCACCCCCAACACCGCGGGTCACAGTCCAGGCACCTGGATTAGTGGGGCGCCACGGGGTGCTTTGCGGCCCACACTGTAGCCCACAGGCGTACGGCTGTGACCCACTGGAAGGTCCCCAGGACCTTGCTCTCCCAGATGAGTGTTCCCGAGCGTGGCCCCTGGCCAGGTGGCTCCTCACCCTCCCCCACGGGAAGAATCTCCGTGGTGGGTCTGGAGGTCAAGGTCCCCCCTCCTCGGCGGTGGTTAGACCAAGAGAGGAACTTCCTGGCCACCACCAGCTGCTACCAAGCCTGGGAAGCCCCGTGGCCCCGCGGGCACAGCAGGTGGTTTACGGGAAACAGCGCCGGGGCGCTCTGGGCCGGACGCGACTCCGCCCCCGCTGCGCACCCGGCATGTTCCCGGAGGACTCGCTGCCCGGCGCTGAGCGAACGGGCCTCGTCGCGACCACCCCCACCGGCAGCCGCTCGGGGAAGGCCCTACACACCGCGGCAGATCTAAAGTGTCACTTTATTCTGCGCAATGAGAGGGGACGGGGAGAAGGGCCAGGCTGACTCGGGTCCAGAGGGGGAGGCAGGGAAGCCATGCTAGAAGTAGATGGAGCCAGCGCCTGGCGGGTCCTCCGTACCCCTGCCCGGTCCTGCGTCCGAGCCCGCGTCGCCGCTGCCCTCGCTGCCTGAGTCGCCCGCGCCGTCTGCTTCCGAGGCAGGTTCGTTGAGGACCACCACGTCGGCCTCTGCCCCGATGTCCTCGCCAAACCACACAGCCTTGTAGCCACCTTCAGGGCGCCGCTCCTTGGTCAGGATGGACCTGACGGCTGCAGGGTCTTCCCCATCCCGGGCCGCTGCTGGGGACTCGGGGACATGATGGAGGGTGGCAGGGCTGGGGGACGTGGGCCCCGGGGTCACAGGCTCCGGGGTTGGGGGCCGGCCGGGTCTGGGTGAGGGGCTAGGGGCCGGTGCCCAGTTAGCCTCCTTGCTGAGGAAAGCCTGGTTGTCAAAGCCTTGGGGCTGGGGCTCCTAGGGCAGAGGAAGCCAGAGGTCAACCAAGCCTGCCCTGGCTTGGCCCACCCCTCCCCTCCCCAGAGACAGGATACTAGTCCCTCCCTGTGCTCTGCCTCTCTCTGCCCTCTTCCCATCCTTTGGACTCCACCGCATCACTCCTCTCCTGGACTGACTCCTGGTTTCCATCCCGCAGCTTCTCCACTGCCCCCCAATCTGTTGCTCCGTCCTCTTGATGCCTATCTCGTCCTGCCTGCTCACTCTCCTCTGTCTCTCAGTTGGCCCTCTCCAGTCCTGTTCCCAACCCAGGGCCTCACCAGAGCTTTGCCAGAGCAGCACTTGAGTCGGTGGCCGTAGAGCTTGTGGACCAGGACCATGAGGGCGATCAGAGCCAGAAGGAGCAGCGCCCCCAGCACCCCACCCAGCGCCGCCATCTCCACTGCTGAGAAGCGCTGGTCCCCACTTGGCTTGTTTGTACTGCTGCCTCCTCCTGCCCCAGACGTCCCTGCTGACACCACCACTGCCCCTTTACTGCCACACCCCAGGCACGCCCGTGCCAACCTGTGGCAAGCTGGGGACCCCCTGAGAACAAGCAGGCCTGGTTCTGGGGAGTGGCACTTTTGACCCCCCCACAAAGGAGCTGTGTGTTCCCCAGGAGCCCGATAGGCCAGGCTGCTGAAGGGGGCGGGGAGAAGGGGGTCGGAGGCCACCAGTTCCAGGTGGAAGGCAGGGGGTCCAGTATCACAGGAAGGGGGATGAGGGCCATGTGGGGCCACTGGGGTGAACGGCCCCAGAATTGAGGGGTTCACTGGATCCCAAATCTGGCCTCTGTCCCGCCCTCCACACGCCTTCCCTAGTTCACATCCTGGGCTCCCCCAGGACCTGTCTGTCCCCTAGACCACAGCAGACCTCTCCTTGAGGTTTCATGATCTGTATGGTCACACCAGGCCGACCTGGGGCGGACCCTGCCCTACACTGGCCACCTAGAGTCAGGTGGCATAAGGGTGACTCTAGGGCAAATAGAGGTGCTACCTGAGGACCAGGGGGTCCTGCTGGGCCCAGGGGACGTCAGCGGAGAGGTTCCTGGTTTCGAGGTCTGTGCTGAGCCCCCACTGGGTGAGGCTGGTGTTGGGGAGGGGCTGGTTCCCGCACTGGAGGGCCCCCCAGGCATGGAGGAGGCAGATGGCCTCAGAGTTGTGCCTGAGGAGGGGTGCGGGCCAGGACCCCCTCCAGAGCTGGTCGTGGAGGGCCCCTGAGAGGGTGCAGGGGGCCCAGGGACTTCCAAAGTGGTGCTGCTTGAGGGTCTGGTCGTTCCGGCCGTCTCTGGGGATGTGGGGGGGTCGGGGGGGCCTGGAGCCAGGGACAGGGCTCGGGCTTGCCACTGTCCCCAGCCAGAAGCCCTCCCTGCGCCAACCTGGGACCCCCGGGAGGCCTACCTGTGGGGGTGGGCTCCTGTTCTGAGACTTGAATCTCCACGACTGTAGTCGCTGTGCCTGAGGTCACCGTGTTCTTGGCCTCAACCTAGGCAGAAGAGGGCTTGTCCCTCTTGGGCCCCACCTTAACCCCCGCCCCTGGAGATACTGCCCACCCCTCACCTCTGCATAGAAGACGCCAATGTGCATCAGCAAGGCGTTGGTCAGCACTGTCTCCCCGTCCATTCGGAAGTTGGAGTTGTTGGTGATTTGATACGTGATGGCCGAGTTGAGGTCCTGGACACGGCCCCAGTGAGTCCTGGGTCCAAGATGCTTCCCAAACTCCCCGAAGCCACCCCCAGAGGAAGGCCAGGCAGACCCAGGGACACGGCAGTGCCTACTGGAAACTCAGGGTCCTGGGCCCGGATCCTCAGAGGCTGGGAAGGGGCAGCTGCATCCTTGACGGCCACGCCCACCCCAGAACCACGCGCCACGGTGCCGCGGTACAGGCTCTCGGGGAAGCGGGGCAGGCTCCCGTTGGCATCTCGGGCCTCCACCGTGACCTGGGTCACGGAGTACTGGCCGTGGTCTGCCTGCTCACCCTGGGGGTGGGGGAGGCAGCAGTGACCAGCAGGTCCTTCCAGGGGAGCCCTGCAGCCTGCGGCCCAAGAAGGGCCCCTGGAGACCTGGCCTTATGCAGGCACTCACCTTGACCACCAGAAGGAAGGTCTTGGGGCTGGGGACGCTCTTGCTCATGGTGAGGTTGCCTGTGCTGGCATCAATGGAGAATGTGCCGTCCTCGTGTCCTGGGAGGATGGAGAGATGCTTGGGCCCCGGTCCCCTCCGGAGGCCTGAAGTGCCAGGACCCCAGCTGACTCTGCCCACGTGGCCAGCCCCCTAGAGGGGAGAGAAGCTGGGGGGCTGGTGCTCACTCACCCTTCATGAAGCTGTAGACAATGGGCTGGCTGATGGCCCAGTCCCCGTCCACGGCGTAGATGGGCCCAGGCTGCAGGACAAGGGCGCCTGGCTGCGGGAGTGGGGAGGGGAGGGAATGCCGTGGAGCTGGTGCCGTGGCCTCGGGCCCCTCCCACACCCCTCCAGGAGGTCTGCCAGGAGGTCCCTGATGGGCAGCCAGGGACACAGTCCAGTTGTCCGGCCCCACTGCCCACCACACCTTCGGACCAATTGCTAATGAGCCAGTTTGCCCACAGTCATTTGATTGATCTGAATGACGTGTGTTTGTCTTAAGAGGCAGCCATGTGGGATGGAGAAAGCTCACATAGAGGTCTGGGCCCCTCGCGCAGGGCAGGGGCCCTGGTGGCTGAACCAGACCCCACTCCTCAGGAGCCCCCTGATATCCAGCCCAGCTCCCTACCCGCTCACGCGGTGTCCAGGGAGCACTGTCTGGCTCTGCCTGAGGACAGCTGGGCCCATTCCCTCACTTGAATTTCAGAGGCTCTGTGCCCTCCTCACCACCGTGGGTTTGGGTGAGATTGATTTAGGAAGGAACATTCACGTGTGCTTAAAAATTACAACCAAATCTGGCCCCGTGGCAGCCAGGCCCCACGCCCTGCCTCTCCCTGTCCCCGGTACCAGTTTGTGGCCTATGGGCACAGTCCCCTGGTACTGGGCTTGGATGCAGACGTAAGCGTCCGAGTAGGTGCAGGGCAGGAACCAGGGGGGCCGCAGGTCAGCAGGCTGCACTTCCAGGACCAAGGTGGCTGTGGCCGTGTGGCTGGGCTCCACATTCTCCTCCTGTGTGTCCTGCAAACAGCGCAGCCCTGCGGGTCAGGCCAGGGAGTCCAGGCAGGAGCAGCTTGCATAGGCAGTTGAGCGTCTGGGACTCTGGCGGGAGTGGCCTGCTCACCCGCACCAGCAGCCGGAAGGTCATGTTCCGACACTTTTCGAAGTCCAGGGGC